TACTTTTCAACGAAGGCACTCATCTGAGCCTCTGTGACCAGCGGAGGTACGGCTTTCTGTGCTCCTTTTCTAATTTTGGCTTTTGAACTGAGCTCTTATTGACCCATATAGATGGCTTTAACCTTAGTAAAGGCTTCGCTTTCAAATTAATTGTTTTAAGTAGCTTAACTTGAAGTTCTAAGTCTCCTTTGTTTATATTCTTGCACAGGACTGTACATTACTGTCTGACAAACAACAAACACTTTAGCTTTCCTGCTAATGCGCTACCAGAGAAGCTCCAGAGTCAGAAACACATCGTTGATTTGATGGCTAACTACATGGAGCAGAACCTAATGGAGGTAAGTTCAGGGGAAAAAAGCCCCAGTAATATTATTATTATTATTATTATTATTATTATTATTATTATTATTATTATCATAATTATTATTATTATTATTATTATAATCATTATCATCATTATTTTGATTACATTTATTATTTAACTATTACATACATATCCATTTTAGACTGTAGATCAGCAAGTTTTGCAAACCAAAAACAATTCCAAGTTTATATATTTTCCCCATCCCTCGTTGTGTTTCTCACATCATAGATTTAAACTTGCTATTGTAAGATTTATTTTAATTTTTTTATTTAGCCGAATAATGTAATCTTAAAAATAATAAAATGGTATTCTTTTGTATCTTTAAACATTTAGTTTTTGTTTTTGCAGGGTGGAGATATCAACTGTGAGGACCAATCTTCAAGCTCTTCTCCGCTGCTTCTGCAGTGGATCAAGACTGATCATGCCTTAGTCATGCTCTTTGACAACCGAACCCTACAGGTGAGTCTCAAATCAGAAAAAAAAGCACTGGAAAAAGACCGTTTTATAAATCGAATTGTTTCCGAAACCTTAATTTTAAAACATTTCCTTTCTCTTTACACTACAGGTCAACTTTTACACAGACCACACAAAAATCATCCTGTGCAAGCCCTCGGACGCCTCATACCTGGTGACGTTCATCAGCAAGGAGCGAGTCTCTTATTCCTACCCTCTGAACGTGCTTTCTGAACTGGGCTGCTCTCCAGAGCTCCGGCAGCGGCTTCATTATGTGGTTCAGCTTCTTCAGCACTACACCAACGCATAATGAAGACGGCTAAACTGCTTTATATTACCATTTGCTGCTTATTGCTTACTTTCGGGAAGCAAAAAAAAATGACTGACAAAGACTAAAAGAAAATCAGGGGAAGCTTCCATGTTGCCACGAAGATCTCCTGTCCTTGGTCATCGGCTGGCCTCTTTGAACTATGGTGCACAATTTTTTTTCTTTTTTTAGTTTTTTTTTTTTTTTTTTTTTTTTTTTTTTGCAACTGAGCCTCTACACCAACAGTATCACACTACCAGCTTGACTCACAGTGTGCACAACCAAAATTTGAGCCTGTTCTTTTTTTATTAGGTTTTTTTTTTTTATTTTGGTTTAGTTTGTTTTAAAGCTGGACTGAAGTGCAAATGACGTAAAAAGAAAAAAAACTCACAGGGTTCTTAAGCGTCTTGCTTATGTGTCCCAAACACTGCGCAAGATGTGCTTGGCTTTTTATGCTCGATCACTTGGCTTTTTTTTAAAAAAAGACATTTTATTTCACTAAATAGTACACAAATGAGAAGAGCTACGAACACCAAATGGTTTGACTTTTAATGAGATTAGTTTTAAAGATGGCAGAGGTGAACGGCTGAGGTGGAACTGGAATTCATGGAGGAGCAGTTTGGAGTGGAAGTGACTGAAAAAAGTGCCTTTCTGATGGATTCCTCTGTGCAATAATTAATAATAATAATAAATAATAACAACATCGATGGCCCTGAATCTCAAGCTTAAGTCACAAAGGGAATGAGAGAGGGCCTTTATATAGTCTTCGGTTTTCCAAGCGAATTAGGCAGGAGTTGGGAAAGAAACACTACAAATACACACCTGATATAAGCTTTTTGCTCTTAAAAGTGATTATATCCTTAATGTCTGTACTTGAGGAGAAAAAAATAGACTATGTATTCAGTGTGCCTCCAGCTTTGTTTACTTGACATGCTCCATTTATAATAGGTAATCATAATGTCCTCAAAACTGTGACCATGGCTGTAAGTGTTAAACAAGTGTTCTGAAAACCAACATTGTTAAAGCCATTACCCTCTCAGACAAATCCTAACTAGTATTATTAATTAATTGTGGCACGTGTTCTATTTATTTTTTTATTTATAGTTTTTTATTTATTGACGTAAGATAATTGTACGGTGTCAACACTGGGAAATGTTCAGTATGATCACTTTTTATGTATTGGGAGAGCGGGGGGAATAAAGTTTATTGAAAATACATATTTTGTGTCGTGTTTTAATTAATTTTTTTTTTGTTTTAAGTCTGAAAAAAAAAAGTAAGTAATTGGGTTTTGTTTATTCCACTAAATATGAAATGAGAATGCTCAAAGACATAATTGTAATTTCAAATCTGTAGGAAATGTAATCAGTAGTTTATAGAATAAAACATTTAAAGAGCACCTATAATGAAAATCATCTTTTGGAAGCTGTTTGGACAGAACTGTAAGTATAGTATATTTTTTCAGCAAATTTCATAATGGTTAAATAGGATCCAAATCCCTCCCATTTTGAGGTCCATTGATTGACAGCTGCGTATTACCATCGCTCTGTATTAACATGTATAATCATATCCACAAGACAGGATGTGTGCTACTGGTATCATGGATATTAACATGTATACTGTCACGTTAGCCATGCAAAAACAGTACAAAGTTAAGTGAGCACTGTGTATGTGTGCGTGCATGAACTTTGTAACGACATTGTTTGTGACTCACTGTTACAGAAAGGCTTGAATTAACTCCACAACAAATACATCAAATAATCCTTGGGAAAGTTCTTAATGTTGTATTTCTCGCAAACGGTACAAGAGATCGGTTTCGTTCATGTCTGTCACTGTGCTGTTTATCTGAGGCAGCCGAGGCGGACATTGAGGCACACTCACTCTGACAGGCACATGGGAATGGTGGGTGGGGAGAACCCCACACAAAAACAGCTACATTGTGTTCAAAGCAGAAAATCACAATATTCTTAAAAGCATAATGAATTGGCCTATATGCACGCATTACTTCCGCGTTTTGTCTAAGGCCGCGGTCCAGCTTCCGGTCTGGGTGATTTTAAGCGGCGGTAAACAGTATTATGGCAGAGTCGTCAATATTTACTCGCTGTTTGCGAGTAAATTATGGTCAACGATGTGCAAATGATTGTCCGGATGTGTTCTACAACCCCGCAGAGCAAAGCTTGAGAAAGGTTTCAAGTTTTATGCATCTTCCTACCTGTGCAATTATGAAGGTAAGTTCAGCTAGCCTGAAGGCTAACTTTAGCGTTAATACTCTTACGATCCGTCCATCGGCAGCTTTATCACGTAAGTAAAAATAATCATATGTGTACGTAATTCTGTCTCATAGTGTCAGGTAAAAACAGGGCAGAAATAAGATCTCAGTGAGAGCTCATTACTACCGATAGATCTATGAAGAAATCGGAGTCTCCTCACCAGCTGAGAGTAGGACAGCATACAAGTTCTGTCCCATTCATACTTTTACTGTTCTAAAGTGACCACCACTGTTCAGTTCGGATAATTACAGAAACACAGATGCTGTCTTAGCTTGTAAGCATGATTATTGAGCAAGATATATTAGGAATAAAATAATACAATGCCGTTCCATCCACAACAGACAAATAGCACTGTGTCAATGCTGAGATTTATTGCTGAAACAGTGGAGATGACAGATGCAGTGAAACAGTGTAGATAGCATGCTTTCTATTTAGTCGATAACATTGTAATTAAATGGGAGGGTGACCCAAAACAATAAGGTGTCATTAGTTAATTTAACATCAACAATTTGTCTATTGCAATATTTATTAGTTTTTTTATGTTAATGAACAAATGCTTATTCATTGTGCTTGTTAACTCACAATGTAATAGCTAATGTTAACAAGCATGACTTTGGATTTTTATTCATTAGTAAATTAGTTTAACAATGCTAACTATTAAATAGTTATTTTAATAGTGAGCAAATACATTAACTAATGAAACCTTATTTTAAAGTGTGACTAAAGGGAGCTACTTTTAAATAATTTAAATTAATAATTTACTGTGTAGTTTAATCTGATGATATTGCTGCAGATGCCTTTCAAAAGAAGATATTTTGAAGAAAGCTGAAAACCTGTAACCATTGACTTCCATAGTAGGAAAAAGAACTACTATGAATATCAGTGGTTGCAAGTTTCCAGCTTTCTTCAAAGTATTTTTGTTTGTGTTAAACATCAGAAAGAAACTCAAACAGGTTTGGAACAAGTGAAGGATGAGAAAATAAAATTTTCAGTTTTGAGTGAACTGCCTTTAATGACTCTCTTTAAAAACCTATTAATATTCTTGTTTCTGTTTTCTAGGTAACATTATGAGATTCAGAGCTAGAAAATTTTATGTGTTACTTCATCCTGGAGCGGACATCCGTCAGAAGATCCATGCCATCGTCTGCTAGTTAATAGCTCCTGCTCTTGTGTGGCTGAGAGTGGGATATGCAAACATTTGGTTGCTTTGCTTTACCAGACAGCCCATTACTCTGAAATGTGTAATGTGTGTTGTAACATGAACAATTGTTTGGAATGGATCAATTATGTGTTAGGTTCCATGAAACAGATGGGTGATTTATTTATTTATTTAATACGTATAAACCCAAATACCTCTCTATGCACAAGTTACAGAAGAAGCACCTGATTCAAGAAAACAACTGATTCAATGTCATTGTTTCTGTTCATCTGAATAAAATATTTTTTTCAAAATGTTACATTTTTTTGACAATTTTAATTTAAATTATATACAGTGAATTATATTTTATATGTACAGTGAATAAAATAAAGGTCTTTATTCTGAATTTAAAAATTGCACTTAGAAAGTAGCTTAAGAAATGTTTATGTATATTAATGTTCAGTTTTTTTACTTCAAAGGCAATGAAAACAAACTATTATTTGCCATAAAAGCTCCTTTCTTCAAATGTCTGCATCCGTTTGGCACTCGAGCCTCGATCAGTTAGACTGAAATTGTCAGCTACACTCTAGTTTTTTTCTGTTTCTGTAAAAATTCTCACGTTTAATATCAACAACCCACCTCTTCTGCACGACTTTGTCGTTTGGAAACGTGTGGAAACTAAGGTAAGAGTTCAATTTCTGACGCTGTGCATTGCTGAACACAGCAGTGGTATCTACAAAAACTGTTCTCACGTCTTTAAAATGACACTTTTAAACGTTTAGATGTCATATTTATGTAGCTGACATAAACATATATAAGTGGGCTATAATGGCATAAAACATTAAGACAACTGTCCAAAACATTACTCGTTTTTATCAGTAGCGCTCCTGTTGTAGTACTGTACTGTACGATCGGCGGAAGTAGGCTCGGGGTCTTAAATTTTACCGGAAATGCGTCACGCGCCGCCGTGCATAGAGCCCAATAATCTGATGGGTGATCTGAGCAAACTTTACAGACACACTCTGGAGACACACTTATATAAAAATCTTGAAGAAAAGATAAAATAGTTGCCCTTTAATTTAACTCCAACAATAAATCTGGAGAAAGTGAGAATTTAAGTGGACAAAACTACATTGTGTTCATTATAATCAGAATGGTATCAAATATTGGTGTGAATGCTCATATTATAATTAATGATATAAATGGACCATAACAGGACCTTATATTTGAATTATTACAAACTATTTTAATTATTAGTGTATGTTAAATATATATTTAAGATTTAAAAGCAAATCAGAATTTCATAAATTGGTGTGAATGTGTATATTTACTAATTATTGTAAGAAATATATTATAGCCTATATTTGAGATTTAAAGCACATTATTTTTAAAGTAAATTTAGGATGATTTGGAATTCACTCATAGTACACTCCGTGTACCACAGCCACAGCGAACAGTGAGTGGTTTTGGAAAACGGCGGATGTGTAGTTGTCAGTATTTGGATTAATCAGGCTCTGACTGGCCAGCCTTACACCATGATCACCGCTCTGCCCGACCACCACCTGGCACACGAGTTTATACCGTGGCGGATTGACATCTTTCAGCTTACTGAGCACCAGATCCGCCAACATCTGACAAAGCTGGCTGCAACTGTCAGCACTGTAACAAACACCTTCCAAATACGCATCCAGAGTTGCCTGTAAGATCTGCTGGGTCCTTCTGGCGCTGAAGCGGCAGCCCGGTTCGGGCCCTGTTCTGTAGGTGTTCTCCACATACACTTCCTGAATGGGCTGCTGAAGGTACAGTCCCGAAAAACTCACCCTTCCGCCCTGATGCCAGCCCGCGAAGGAGAAGCGTTTGCCCATGGACATGTGAGAGGTGCTCACGCTGGGACTCATGAACGAGGACTCGGAGGAAAGACCCGTCATGGCCCGGATGAACAGTGGTCTGGGGTGCGGGTGGTCTTTAGACTGGTCTTTAGAGCTTCGTCGAGTGGAAATGGAGGCCAGACGACGCCTAGGAGGTCCTGGGGGTTCTGGTTCTGTGGACTGGGAACGATTGAATTGGGCTAAAGTCTCCTGAGAGAGTGGCAGAGGCTGGTTGGACATGGTGAAGGAATCTGCGAGGAGACACATCAGTAAGTCTTGTTCAGAAAGTGACAAATAATAATGGCATTGTATGGTGGTGGTGTAGTGCCAGTGGTATTTAATTTATTTTATTTTATAGTGTTCAGAAAAATTAATTTCCCTTATCATTTGCTTCTAGCTATTTGTGCAGGTAAAAAGAAAAAGACAAAAAGCAGGTTTAGAGTGCATTAAAGTCTGTTTTCAGCAGTGTTTGTGCTGGAAATATTTTTACCATAAGGATTAAAAACATCTGAGGTAAACACAACACAATCTTTCATTTTAAGCAAAGTATATGGAATCAGACAAGGTAAGACTGTAACAGATTCAATAAGGGACTGAATCAATCCCAAAGAAACAATACCCGTATTGCATTGCAAATGATAAACAACAGTGAAATTCAAACTATAAAAAGTTGCTGATTTATCTAGTTCATTTATCTAATCTATGCATATCTTCATAAATATACAAATGTATTTTGAGAACGTTTTATATACCGACATCATTGACACTGCTTTATAGGAATGGGTGGAGCTAAATATCTATTTTGCTGTGCTTTGCTCACTGCGCCTCCCTGATTGGTGGAATTTTCTGTATATCATCATGGGCAATGTAGTTATTCTGTACAAATTCCACTATTAACCTATTAACTGTTTTAAGAGTACTAGGGGTGTCAAAATTTATTGTTTCTTCTGCAGACATGGACCAATTTGGTGTCGGTTCTGTAATAGACCCTAACTGGTTATGTAATGCTGTCATTTATCTCATTCATTCGTTTTCTTGTCAGCTTAGTCCCTTTATTAATCCAGGGTCACCACAGCGGAATGAACCGCCAACTTATCTAGCACATTTATACGCAGCGGATGCCCTTCCAGCCGCAACCCATCTATGGGAAACATCCACACACACATACACACACACACACACTCATGCACTATGAACAATTTAGCCTACCCAATTCACCTGTACCGCATGTCTTTGGACTGTGTGGGAAACCGGAGCACCCGGAGGAAACCCACGCGAATGCAGGGAGAACATGCAAACTGCACACATAAACTCGACCCATCGACCTTCTTGCTGTGAGGCGACAGCACTACCTACTGCGCCACTGCATCGCCTCATTTATCACATATGTGCTATATTGCGGTAGTTTACTATGACGAGGAAGACGACCGCAAGTAATGAAAACACTCCAACTTAAAAACGCTTAAAACACAAACTCACTACTCATGTTGTTCTGTGCATGAGTACTTGAGTTTTTAAAGGTACCGTTCTGACTGTTTTTATTAAAGGACAAAATTGTATTACACATAATATATAAATATATATTTATACGATTAAGTACAAGAATTGTTGCGCTGTGAAGTACAATCTAGTTGTTTATGGAAGGCATCATCAAGGCACCATTATGCACCAAAATATCAAATTAAACCAAATTGTAACCAAACTGAACCGAAACGTGAGACCAGTTTAGGCTCACACCTCAATAAAATATATTGAGCTAATGTGAACAGAAGCGATCAACATTGGGCTGTACAATTAATAACCAACCTCATGGTGCAAAACAGGTATATACATACAAGTTATTAAAATGAGTGTTTCTTATTTGTTCTCAAACCACTACCACAATCCAATATTTGCGATTAACAATAGTTATTTATCAATACTAATCCTGAAGCACCATACTGTGTGCAACTCTCTTATATTCTGAATGTTAAAGAATTATTTACTTTCAGCATTCTTGTTGATTATGCCAAAAAACTAAATTTTACTGTTTAAGAAAATTAAAAAAAAGTGCAAGTATAAATTGTGCTTCTTTTTCTTTCAATATAATAAACACCAGTAGTGTGTCGGAATGATAGATTTCGACATTAGCCGTTACAGTGTAATAGTGATGAATAAAAACAAGCAAATTGGCTGATGACTTTATGATTTTTTTTTACACTACAGTAATTATGAAATCGTTTAAGAAAAGTTGAGAATCCTATTTGTAAGATCTGTAGTAAGTCATCAGGGCTGAAAAGGCATCATCTACTGTGAATTACCCACAGGACTCAGTAAATGAGGTCACATGAGTTCAAGAGTTTAAGTCATAGATATAGTTAGGATGTAGGGCCTCAATATGCAATAAATAAATATTTTTTTAGTGTTAGATGTCTGTTAAACAGATTCTTTTCATGAATGAAAAAAGGCTCTTGAGATTTTATTCAAATAAATAAATAGTGGAGAAAAATATACCATTAAACTTCTGTTTGGAGCTGATCTACATTAGACATGTCCATTAAAATGACTAATTTCTTGTCTGAAAATGCCCTTGAGACCTTATTTGGCGAAAGAAAATTGCTTTTATGAATCTCTTTTGCTGAGGTTTTATTCTCATGATAACATTTCATAACCAAGAGGATATAAATTTCAGTTTGAACGGTTTCTTCGCCCACACTCAAAGGAATGGTTTTCCAGACGCAGCTTTACTCCAAACCCAGATTAAATTGCATTTGATAGCAATTCAGAAGCATTCAAATTGATTTGAGCTGGGGCACCTGGTTTCATCTGTTTCTTGGAAGCAGACCCAAAGAGCTTCCTAAAGAGAATGAGGTGCTTTTAATGTATACATGTTTCTTGATCAAAACAGTCAGGGAAGTTCCCTCCTGTCTTTACTGTGGGATGTTGTTCAGGTCTTCAGACTGAGTCAATAGTGTATCACACCTCAGATACACTTCCCGCTTTTTTTCTTCCTCTGCAATACAAAGTCTTTGGCACAACAACACTGTGGAGACATAATAAAACATTTATATACAACCACAATTACCATTGTGCGCACAGAAGAGTCACAACGATTGATGAGTGTGCTTGAAACACATGAAAATACAGGTAGTGTATGGGTAGAACCGAGAGTAAGAATGAGACGTTCATGATTGAGTCACTAGAAAAAAAACACAAGCTGTTGTACAACGTCAGTCCAAGAAACCCATTTAATGAGCACATCTTTACCGTCACATTCACGAAATGAGCGGTAACAATAAACACACTAATCTGGCACTTAAGCCAGACGGTTTTAACGGGCTTTTCCAAAAACCTCAATCAGTGTTCTAATAGCTGATAAAGGCATTTGATTTTTTTTTTTTTTGTGTGTTTTTAAGTATCTGATTTTATATTTTGAGCAACATGGTAGCTCAGTGGTTAGCACTGTGGCTTCTCAGCAAGGTTGCTGGTTCGAGTCCCGGCTGGGTCAGTTAAAGTTTGCATGTTCACCCTGTGTTGGCATGGGTTTCCCTTCCGGTTCTCTGGTTTCCCCCACAGTCCAAAGACATGCACTATAGGTGAATTGAATAAACTAAACTGGCCGTAGTGTATGGATGTTTTCCAGTAATGAGTAGCAGTTGGAAGGACATGCGCTGTGTAAAACATATGCTGGATAAGTTGGCTGTTCATTCCGCTGTGGTGACCTCTTATGAAGGAAGCTGAAGGAAAATGAATGAATGAATGAATGAATGAATGAGTTTTCATATTTCCTAAAGGTGACATAGAATGAAAGTCTGGATATACATGGGCATAGCTGAATAGTAAGAGTCCAGTACAAGGAAATTACATACTGTGAGCCTCAAACACCATTGTTTACTTGTTCTCATGTAAATCCTGAGTATTGACCTTATTCTAAAATGCGGAAGTGCGCCTGTTTTTGCGATTGTCTTAGAACTTCCGTTTCAGTCGCCTATGGGAGAAATGACAAGGAATAATAAACGGCAAAAAACGGTCAAACTACTTGCTCAACAAACAAATGTTTGCATGACTATACAGACCAAGTAGAATAATATAACAAGGAAATATTAGTTTGCAACATCAAACAGCGAAACGAGCAGTTTTTAATGTCTAAAAATGAATGGAAGTGAATGAGACCGGAAGTCTTGTGCCAAAAAGATTCAAATGGCAGCGCCCACTCGTCTGCGGAGAATAAGGTCAATAAAATCCTGGTAAAAAGTATTAAAAAATACAGACTCTGACGATGCACACAGGATAATGTGCACATCCCAGGCACAGTTTTATTGGCAACAGTATTTCCTAATGATATTACAACAATATTTTTTCCTGATTTTATTTTTCTAAGTTCATAGAGACTAAAAAGGAGCAGTTTTGTAAAGAAGGTGGCCATACATGACATTGAATAGGCATATATTCTGTTTAAATGTATCTTTTGTTAATTTAACATGTGAAATTTGCCACGTATATTTGTAATGAGGCAACAGACTCGTGTACCCATTTGTAACAAGGCAACAAAAACATGTAAACTGTTTAACGTGTGTTTGTGTCACATCACTTAGCTCTTATGTGATTTTCTTGAGTGAAAGGATGGCAGTAAACTTTAGAAAATTCATCTATTAATGCAAATGTTTGTCTTCATATACTGTATTCCCTCGTTATAACGCCGTTTCGCAGTTTTGCAGATTTTTTGTGTGTGCAATTTTACGTGCTTTTTTTTTTACAGCATATTGTGTTCTGTGTCATGATTGGCTGTAGACCATTGTCAATCAATCTTCTCCATGTCTTCTGTACAATACAGAATGCATTCAGCTTGCAAAATTAACAAAAATTGGGTCGCTTGCAGTGTGATTTCCAACAAGGATGCAATAAGAGTTGTAAACGTATGCATCAAGACCATCGTAAAGGTGTTCAAAAACCAGATGCGCTGTGCCACACAGCATCATGCATTTTAGAATTGTATCCATAGGTTTATATCAGGGTATGCACACCGGTGCCACAAGTCAGTAATGAATGTTTGCGCCTTAACAGGTTTTGATCTTTGGATTCATTCTATAAAACTGGACTTATTTTTCTACAAAAGTTTGAACTTTGAGTTTAAACAAGAGAGAAAAGTATGAAAATGTTATTGGCTGTCTGAAAAACATGTAAAGTGTGTAGAGAAGGGTTTTACAGCCTTAATGTATAAAATTTGTAAAATAAAATAAAGCTGACTACTTGGCAGATTTTGCCTATTGCAGGTTATTTTTAGATCATAACCTCCACGAATAACGAGGGACCTCTGTCTTTTAAACTGAAAAATACAACTCTTAATACATCTTTGTAATTGGAGAGAGAGTGTTGGCCCTGAGATAAGCTGCAGAGCGTCAGATCTAAGCTCATTAATATTCATGACCATTCTAAATATGGTCAAAACTGAGCTTTTTATTCTTGGGGTAAGTCCTATGCTAATAAATTATCAAATCAAATTTTTTAACTGACCTAAGCCACATACCTACTTCATCAGAGAACAACTTAACTTATTTAATCAGGGTAATCAATGGCACTTTTAATTCTACACATTTTGTCAGAAGAAAACATACATTAAAAATAACAGAAATCATAGAAATAAATATACAAATTAATGCAATATATATATATATATATATATATATATATATATATATATATATATATATATATATATATATATATATATATATATATATAGTAAAAGTTTGGAAGCAGTAAACGTGGTAAGTGGTTTTAATATATTAAGGATCCAATAAAATAATCACTAGGTAAATTTCCTCTATATATTTCCAATATGTAAAATTAAAGTCTATTAAAACAGAAGAGAAGCATTAATTTGACTGCCAAAATCACTGCAAAAAACGTTTAAAAGTTATTTCTGTAATATGTAGCATTCACTGTCCCGATAATGTTACCCTAAATGTCCTTACCCGTTTAGAAGCTCCAGTAAAATATATGAATATTGTAGTATTCCAATGAGCAACTCTCTGCTCAAGTAATGTTGTCACTAAGTGGTTCATGTTCTCTGTTGCGAGCGCATCTCTAAGCAGAAGCCGTAAATTATTTTCAAAATGGGCTACATGGGCAGGCGTGCTGAACAAGCCAGGCAATCATTCACACACAGCATTGAACAACCTGGATTTCTGCCACGAACTTACTTGTAGTCATGGAAAGCCTTTTTATTTTAACCTTCCACTGTGGCCTGATTGGCTTATCAACTTAACAACTGTGGCTGATGTCCAATGCATTTTTTCCTGTAGCATATGCTACCAGTCAAACGTTTGAGATAAGTTAGTCTATTATTATATTATATTATATTATATTATATTATATTATATTATATTATATTATTATTTAATAAATTAACCTAGTTACTTTAACTGTAAAATTGTGAAATGGTATTCATATTTTATTATAGTAAATTTAGAGTAATCTAGAGGCCTTTTCCTTTCATATGAGCTACTTCTGGCATTAAACTGATCAACTAGAAGTCAAGTTATTATTTGTTGTTCCTAAAACTTAAATAGGGGACAAGACTTTTGTCAGGTAGTGTATGTTTTTTTAATCAAGCATGCAGCCTTGCACAAAATAAAAGATTAACTGGATTTGCAAATTTTTTTAAGGTAAGCGTTTGTAAATAATCTATAATATAAATATAAGGTGAGGCAGTGGCGCAGTAGGTAGTGCTGTCGCCTCACAGCAAGAAGGTCGCTGGTTCGAACCCCGGCTCAGTTGGCGTTTCTGTGCTCAGGTTTCCCCTACAGTCCAAAGACATGCGGTACAGGTAAATTGGGTAGGCTAAATTGTCCGTGGTGTATGAGTGTGTGTGGATGTTTCCCAGAGATGGGTTGCGGCTGGAAGAGCATCCGCTGTGTAAAAAACTTGCTGGATAAGTTGGTGGTTCATTCTGCAGTGGCGACCCCGGATTAATAAAGGGACTAATGCCGAGTTCAGACTGCATGATTTTTAAAGTAATCGTGTCACAGATGTTTTCACACTGCATGACTATCTGGGCTAGCGTTTCGTCGCTGCTTTGTTTACACTGCAAGATGGATCGGCGACAGGGACTTTCACATTGCATGACTCGCCGACAAGTTCGTCCAAACTACGTCTCACAGCCAAAAACACGTAGTATATCTTTTGTTATTAACTACATAATGAGTAAGAAGCCTTTAATGGGGTAGAAAATGTACATATTTGCTCACCTGGGTTTAAAGGGAATTAGCCATTTCTCCTCAACGTTGATAATAAACTAATTTCTTTCTGTATGAAACGTCAAACAGACACGGTTGCTCCTGAGTCCTGTCAAACCTCCACTAGTTTTTCCTGCATTTCGTGGGTCTAAATAAACCGAAACAGAGCGCTTTTAACTTCTCCCCCAACCTCCCGCTGGCCTGCAGCAGGTATACACACACGCACACACAAGTGAATGCTGCTCTCTCATTGGCTGTAGGCGATCGCTGATGTTATTTTCAGTCAAAACTTAATTCACACGGCATGATTTGAATCGCTGACAGCTCCAGATATTTAGCATGCCAAATATCTCAAGTGGTGCTCGCTGCAGAGCCATTTGAGGAGAGCTGAGCTCCAGCGATGGGGAGCTTAAGCTTGAGCTCCACCTCTTTTGCACTTCTTCTACGAGTGATGTCACTGGGGGTAGGGTTAGGGGTGGGGTTGTTGTACGCATTAAAACAGCTTACAGGAGGAGGAGCGACAGCTCATGCTCCCCCTCGCTGGAGCTCAGCTCTCCTCAAATGGCTCTGCAGCGAGCACCCTCTCAAATATCTCGCAGGCATCGGCGACTCATCGGCGATTCTTTCAGATCGCGTCTTTGATAGCTCATACTGTGTGATTGTCACTCACGTGCATGAGCAGCAATTTGCCTGTGATTTCAGGCATTTGTCGGCGATTCTCAAAACCTGTCGGCGAGCCAAAATCGGGGCTAAAAATCACGCAGTCTGAACTAGGCATAAGCCGACAAGAAAATGAATTAATGAATTACTAAAAATAATTTGCAAGTTTAAATTCAGCCCATATAATTTACCACTTGCGTAAAAAAAATTGAGTAATTTCCAATGAATCATTTTTTTCAGTGTGGTGGAAGAGACTTGTTGAAAGCAACACAAAATTTCCTTCTTTGGAAAATATCCTTGTTTCCAATAGTGCAATGGAACTGCATCATAAAGGGATTTAGTGTATTCCACTGATCTCTTGTCTCATAGAGAGGAAAAGGTGCTGATCTCTGGTTGCCAGTGGGTGGTATCAGGCAGAGCCATCTGTTTCCATCTGTTTCCACTGCAATCGAGAGGAAAAGAGGCCTGCAGTCAGGTTCAAACACAAGCTGCTCATGAATCGCACCTCTGACTCACGAAACCATGACTAGCTATGTCTTTTTAGGAAAGAATATCTTTGCGTTCCATGTGAGAATCACCTGAAACAATCTCCCTGTACGTATCTGATGGACATTTCGCTGTTGCAATAAATGCATATCTTTCCACATGCTCAACCCCATTGTTCTTAGTCAAGCAAAACACAAGGACAATTGTGAGGAAGTTGCAAATAAACGACAGATGTACTTAAGCATGTCTGGACATGTTTCGAATGAAGCATGTCAGAAAACTAGTGGAGTTTCAAAAGTGCTGTCAAGCAAAAAAAACACACATGATGGAGGCAGTTGAAAAGGCAAGACCTTTGAGAGCTAGGGGGCAAACATAAATAAACAGTGCTTAAAGAGGAAGAACTTGCTTTTCTGGGAATCTGTGAGCAGATTCATACACAGAACTACTTCTGAAGAAAAGGAGTGTTTGTAATCAAATGGTACCCAAATATTTAAGAATACGATATAATTGAAGTGATGTTGAGTTGGTGTGACGTTGTGCTGAACATGATCAGGTCAATATGAAGTTATTTTCGAGTGAACTTTACAGAGAAGAAATATTTGTTTCTGCTGGTAGACACTTTTAAACTGCTGCTGGTCCATGGTGAGTGTGGCCCTGTTTCTCCACCTTATTTGACACAAATATCTGCTTTTTAAAACATTAACACTGACCCAGCTGACAGAGAAAGTTCAAAAAATATTCAGTAAAGTTACTTAGGCCCAATCCCAATTCTACCCCTTAGCCCTTCCCCTTACCCCTACCACTCGTTTTTCGCGTTCACGCCAAGGGGTAGGGGTGTCCCAATTCTCTTTAGCTTGAAGGCGTAGGGCTAAGGGGAAGGGGTGAATAGCCCTTTGAACAAAGTTTTTTCAGGACCACACTCGAAACCAAGGGGTAAGAAAATTTCCCAGAATGCACCAGCTGCAACGGCAGTATTGCTAAACCCGAAAGTAAGGAGATCCACAAATTAGTATTTTTTGTCATTATTACGAATTTTTACAACAAACAAACATTTTTTAATATATTCATTACCGCGTTTGTGTTTTACCTTCATGCTTAAAAAAAAGCTAAATAAACCGCTAAATTTCACAATCTATAATCCATAATAATACCTCCTGTATAGCAGTTTCACAACATTCTGACTCTCGAATATCCTGTCAGAAAAGTCTAGTGGCTGGGAATGAGCTTTTTACAGTGTCTGCTATAATGTTAGTGTTGTTTTTGTGTGTTTACATAGATGAATATGGCCACATTAGATCGTTATGATAACTTAATATATGCCTTCAGTGATTTCCTGAAAATACCAAAAAATACCACAACTGGAATAACTACAGCCATCGCTATCATCTGATCTTATATGAAGCTTGAAAGCGCAATGACATGTGATGATGTGCAGGTGCTGTAGTGCTGTCTCAATTATTAGGGGTAATTATTTTGAGGCCTTCCCCTTAACCCTTGGTTGTAAGGGCCAAGGGGAAGGGGTTGGGGTACAAAAATATAATTGGGATTGGGCCTTAAAAGGGTTGTTGCTAAATCAGATATGGTTGCGGCCGGAAGTTAACAAAAAATATTTATATTATTTATTAAATTTCCAATTTATTGTATTTTAATAAAGTCTACCCCTACCCCATCCATAACCCCAAACGTCACAGTAACGTAAAACAGTAGTTGTACCGAGTATTATTTATGTTATCTATTAAACCACCCAAAAATTTATTTTTTTTAACCCCTACCATAACCCTAAACCCAACCATCACAGTACTAAAAGAATATTAATTATTGTTATACAGTGTCAAAAAAATGCTGCTTGATTGATGTGCATGTCACACTTGCGGCCGGCCATATATCCTATCTAGACTTTAACACTTAAAAGTTGTATAAATGTTAGCATGCAAACTGATTCAAATAAATTTTGTGGAACATTCTTGTAAATTTGATAGAAAATATATATTTACAGTTGAAGTAAGCCCCTCTTTGAATTTTTTATTTCTTTTTTAAATGTTTCACAGATTATGTCTAACAAAGGAAGGAAATATTTACAGTATGTCTGAAATTATTTTTTTCTTCTGAAGAAAGTCTTATTTGTTTTATTTTGGCTAGAATAAAAGCAGTTAATAAAAAAATCTTTAAAGGTCAAAATTATTAGCCCTTTTAAGCTATATTTTATTTCAATAGTCTACAGAACAAACCATCGTTATACAATAACTTGGCTAATTACCCTACATAGTAAAGCCTTTACTTGTCACTTTAAGCTGTTTAGAAGTGTCTTGAAAATTATCTAGTCAAATATTATTTACTGTCATCATGGCAAAGATAAAATAAATCAGTTATTAGAAATGAGTTATTAAACTATTATGTTTAGAAATGTGTTAAACAGAAATTGGGGCAAAAATAATTCAGGAGGGCTAATAAATCTGACTTCAACTGAATATACATTATGAATGGAATGTTCTATTAGCTATTTAAATAACATTCTGATAACATTAATATAACAATATATTAACATAATCTTTCGAATAAAAGAAAATTGAATGAAAACAAAATGGATGTTTTGAATGTTCTATTATCTTCCACAATAATGTTTTTAAAATCGACTGAGAACATTAGGGAAATGTAACTTGGCACTCAAATCTTGAGATAATCCTAAGTACATTGCTAAAGCACTACATCTAGGATGTGATCACTTCATGATAATGATTATGTTGTTGATGATGAAGATGATAATGTCATTTTAAAACATTAGTACATTGATCCAATAGAAACTGCACCTCAGGTGGGTGGAGACGGTGAGTAAGAACCTATTAGGAACTGTTTTATTGCAGGAACACACTTGTATTGGATTAATCCTTCAGACTGAC